AGCCAGATAAAAGAGAAATCAGGAGAAATTTTTTTAGGGTACAACAGCTGTCCCTATTTAATCATCTTAAACCTGAGGGTGGGATTAGCGCTAGCCTTTCGAACCTTCAAGGTATAAGATGATTAAATATCAAAAGAACCAGAAAATTTATGCTCCGAAGAATAAAATGATGATGTATTGTTTGAGAATTTTTTTTAGCATAATGCTCCATATCAATGGAAATGCCACACGTTTTAGGGAATGTAATGTAGTGCATGGACTCTCTTTTTTTGTTATATTTTTTTCTTGTATATGATATGAAAGAGTGACTATGTGGGAATCAATGAGGAAAATGCAAAGGAATTCCAGTGGAAAATTTTTTTGAGGAAAGGAAATGGCGCCGCCAAATTATTCTCCACTAATGTGTTGATACAGGAAAACAAAAGATGACCAACATCAGCTATTGTACCAATGAAGGAAAACAAAGACAAGCTTATATCAGGTAGTATAATGACGAGAGATGTAAAACCATGACAAACATAAGCTAATGTATTGATGAAAGAAGTAAAGCAATGACAAACATCAGCTAATATACTAATGAAAGAAGGCAAAAGAGACCTACATCAGCTAACGTACTGATGAGGAAGACAAAATGACCTACATAAGCTAATGTGTTGATGAGGAAAAGAAAAAAGACCTACATCAGCTAATATACTGATGAGGAAAAGCAAAACAGATCTACATCAGCTAATGTGCTGATGAGGAAAAGCAAAATAGACCTACATCAGCTAATGTACTGATGAGGATGGTAAAATTACCTACATCAACTAATATACTGATGAGGAAGAGAAAAACGACCTACATCAGCTAATGTACTGATGAGAGAGAGCAAAACAGACCTACATCAGCTAATGTACTGATGAGGGAGAGCAAAACAACCTACATCAACTAGTGTAATGATGAGAGACGACAAAATCGACCTACATAAGCTAATGTACTAATTAAAGAAGTAAAGAGATGACAAACATCAACTAATGTACTGATGAAAGAAGACAAAATCAACCTATATCAGCTAATGTATTGATGAGGGAAAGATTCATGACATCCAAGAATATCATTGAATGGAGGTGAACAACACTCTATTGGGGATAAGACATCCAATTACTGGCTTTGTAGTGAAAGAGATAAGGCATTCAAGAATGATATTGGATAAACAGGAGAAAAAGATAAACATGTACTTATTTTGGTAGGTGCCAAGTAAGTTGGGCTTTGATCTCAAGGTGACATGTTGACTGTAATAAGGCCTCTGGGAGAATGCACATAAGCATGAAACAATCTTACTATGCTTGATATTAAATTTTGTTATGCATGATATATGAATGGTCAATGCATGATATGTAAATGATTGAGACAACTGATCTAGACTCTTATGGGGAAAACAAGATTGGAACTTTGATTCCTCAACATAGGGAACACTGTGAACTTCGCTTGGGGAAAATGTTGAACACATCTCTATCACAATTGTAAATTGTATCAAAATGATGATCCTTTAAGGAAGGACTGAAGATCTTCTTGGGAATCTTGCAGGAGAAAACTAACCCAAATTGACTGAATGGTGTAGATAAACTGATCATGGCTTCAATTTGACTATTGATGAGGATAAACTGATCATGGCTCCAGTTCTTGAAATGACTGTTGGGAAGGCTTGTCCCAATATGAGTATTGAAAGAGATCTTTTGGTTAACTAATTGTAAGAATAACTGAGCAATAAATCTTGAATTGATTCACAACATGATCTGGAAGTAACTTGCCCCTGATAGGATCACTGGCTATGTTTCTCGACTGTTTGAAATTCCTTGATAATGAATGTTTGTATGCAAAAAAAAAAGGTTCATTCAAGCATGGTAATTTTAATACAAAGTTAATGAAAAAGTTTTGAAATCAAAATCATTTTCGAAATGATATTATAAATGTATCACTGGTCAAAACATAGCGGTTTAGACATTCAAAGTGAAAGAGAAAGAAAAGGTATAATATCAAGACAAATGATATGCAAAAATATTAGGAGTTATTTCACGTAACGTTCATGTAGTATGCTTTCAAAAGAAACCTAGCTTCAATTAGGTCTTTTGAGGGTTGTAACATGGTTTGATTCACGATTTATGAAACAAAAGATAAAGAATCAAAGTTTATTTTCACCCACCTCATTCTCTGTGATGTTTTTTAGTCCTACATTCAGTTAACTTAGACTATGTTTTCTGGTTCCAAGAGATTTTGGAATTATACTGATGATAGAAATGATGATGATGATGATTCAAAAGTCAAGGGACTCTTGAGATGACCGTCATTTCTTCTTACAACATTTTGTCATTTTTGTTGAGGATTTTTTGTCAACTCTAGTGGAGAATTTTGAGGATTTGAGGACCTCTTTCTTTTGAATTCTCTTTTATTATCCCTAACTTTTGCCTGAACTGTTTCATTTGAGATTATAGTCAGCAGGATGCCCCAGTTTTTTTTGCCTAAGCCTCTTTCATAGGTTTTAACTTAACAGGATTTTTATTTTGATTTTTTCATTCTTCTTTTTTTCTTTGGAAAGATAGTGACTGTCTGGCTTAACAATTTGAGAGACATCTTTGAAACTTCTTTGATGAGTGCGAAGGAAATCTTGTAGTTAAAACCTTTATCGAAAGGTGTCTTGAATGATTCTCTTGTATTTGAATGCACAGTCGAATTAACCGAAAACTACCCATCCCTAGGTTAATATTAAGAGTTTTTTCACACAAAAAGAAACTCCAACTTCTTAGGCTCAAAGGGGTAAACGAGGGATTCACTTCCTTATTTCTCCAGTGTTTGGGAATTGAAACAATGCCTTACATCGACAATAAAGTTTTATTCGAAAGAATACCAACAACAATTATGGGTATTTCATTTTCATTATACTCACTCAAATCTTTGCATAAACAAGAATTTGATAAAGAAAGTAAATAAGAGATATATATTTTTGTTTTTTTTGAAAGAGGAAGCAGTAAGTGAAAATGAATTGAATCAAAACATCGTAATGCTCATTTTATTAAAATCAACATGAAAGTACAAACATAATTTGAAAGCAAACAATTAATACAACTAAAAGGGAAATGCAAATAGAAAGACACATGGCCTAGTGACTAATTAGCAAAAAGGACGAGCTGTCATGTCTGAAACACTGGATTTTAAGAAGTAGTCTGGCTTGCTCTGACTGAAGCTTCACTTGTCATGCCTTGACAGAGGATTCTTATTGACATTAGGACCTGTATCTTTGAAGGACAAAATTCCATAATCAATTCTTGAACCATGGTCTACCATTCTTCCTCTGGCGCTGGCTCTGGTTCCGTATATATATTGAGGAAACAACTTAACGGTTGATAGATAACTGAAGAAAGAGACAACTAAAATGAGATACTTGGACAACTTGGATGTATGCATGAATTATGCGAAGGGTGCAAATGATGTGCAATGTTATGCAATGCAAAGCACTGTAACATGATCACATGTTTAAAGTAATGAGCATGGAGTCAAGGTTAAGAACCAACTCACATGGTATGTAGTAAGGGTTTAATCACCCATAGAATAAAGTTCTAAATGGTTCTCAGAGTTGTTGATCCTCTTTCATATTTTACCAGCTTACCAACTGACTCGGGGGCTAGTAATATATTCGAGACTCGTTTGAGTGTAGCATCACATGACAATTATTTCAGGACTACTCCTTCATAATTACCGCACTACATCCTAAAAGACCAAGATGGGTTAAGGGTTCTACGGTCCTCGGTTTCTCGGGCTCCCAGGTCGAAAGTAGCAATCTTTTCACAATTGACTTGTTCAACATATACTACCTCCAAAGGGGCCTCCACTAAGCGAGGGATCTCAAATCAACTTACTAAGGACTTTCTCCACATAAGTTGAAGTGATTATACCACACATCCTAAATATAAGGTGGAACTTAAGTTTGGGTATAGGACTCATCCTTGAAAAGATCATCAAGCACCCTGAAAACCAGAAAAGTCCAGACAAACAAGCAAACAACAACAATAATAATATACACAGATAAACAAGTTAGGCTAAACCCACTTAGAGATTATTCCCCAGCAGAGTCGCAATTTTTGTAGCGGTGAAAAACCAGAGATTAAGCTATTGACTTAACTTGAATCACAAAATCAAGAGTTGCAAACCCATTTTATTTTTCCAAAGGAAAATGAGAAAAGAGCGAATAAAACCCATAAAAATAAAGAGATAAGGGTACAAGGGTTGATTATGCAAATGGAAGGTAGATATCAACACCTAATGCATCTATAGTACTCTATAGGAACCTCTTGTAATGTGTTTTCTCTAAACAAAAGTGTTCGTTGCAAAATAATTGAGTAGAAAAGAAATGTGTTTTTTATATATATTTTTGAATTAATTAACTTAATTAACTAAAAATACATATTTTTGTATTTTTCTTAAGGTTAAAATAAACTAAATTAATTAAAAAAAAATTAAAATAATTACTCTTGATCAACTAAATCAAACTAATTACAAAAGTTAGCTAAAACCAAAAATAAAATTAAAGGGGATGATACAAATAGCATGAGATTATATAAAGTTAGTATGGGAGTAAAGGTTTGAGCTCAAAAGCCCACATTGCACAAAAACAAATTTCAAAATCTAATTAAATTAAAATAAAAAATAGTAAAAATAAGAAGAAAAATAGCAGTAACAGGGGCGACATATCCCCTCTCTTCCGCTTCTTTTTGGACTTTTCCAAGCTTTTGGACTTAACCATTTGTAGCTTGACACGTGGCATCAGCTTAAGCAAAAATAAATAAAAAGAAAAGAACTAGTAAGTATACAAACGTGTAAGCATAAGTGAACATGAAAAACATAACAAATCCATTTTTCTCTTCTCTTAAAAGCACAACACCATTTTTGCTACTCCTCAAACTCAAACAACCAAAACAGATCCACTACAAATCCAAAAAATGAAAAAATAGAAACGTTTACAAATCATGCGGATGATGGAGGTATCAGAGTTGCGCGTGGGTCACGGACCAGAGGGAAGAGGGCAATATAATCGAAAAGGGTGTCTGCACGACTTCATGTGGAGGACGATCGAAGGTGTCGCAGTCGAGGTTGACGCACGGGAGGGCATGGTTGTGCTTCATGGTGATGGCACAATTGTGGGATTTGTAGCTCTTATCAACAAAGATGACACCGAATCACGACGCTTAATAGCTTCAGATTTTTCCGCCGGTGGTAGCTGAGTGTTCGGAGCGTGCGTCAGAATGACTTGCAGTGTGGACCCTGATCTTGAATATTTTTCTCCTTCAGTCTCAATTTATTTTTTTGTATGGATTCAACGATCAAGAAATCATGAGGATTGCATTATCGTTGTTTTTTATGATGAGTTTTTGAGATATACAGGTTGGTGATAATAGAATGAAGATGATGGTTTTGAAATAAAAAATTAATAAGATGTTAGTAAAATTTAAGTAAAATGTAAGACAAAAAAAGGATTAGTGACAGTTAGTAAAATAATTTGCTAAATGAATAAAAGGTGGCCTGACAACAAAACATATACAAGATTCAAAGAAATAAGAATGTTCAGAAATAAAACATGAAATTGTGTGAGAATGTTAGTTTGTGAACATATAGACGATTGTTACTATGAGAATTTGTGAATATCAAGTGTGGTTATTTTGTAGTTGTTGATTAGGATTGAGAGTAAGGGTTTTGTGAATGAGGGAAAATATGTACGTGGTTGTAAGGGTTTTTGTGAGTGAAAGTCCTCCCTAAGTGTGCATAAAAGTCCCTTATTTATATGAAAAGATAGGTTAGTCAAAAATAGTAAAGAAATCAAATAATTATTAATATAATCAAACTCTAAATCAAATGTGATTTGATCTTGACATATTTAACAATTATGTTGATTCTTTTTCTAAAAATGACATAAAGTAAAAATGGAACAAAATCATTCAAAATAATTTTTATTTTATTTTATAATTTTTTTTGACTATTTTTGAGTTAAAAAGTGCATAAAACAAGAAATTCAATTTAAAAAAAATAAATAATTAATAAATACGAAAATAAATAATAACATAACAAAAATTCAATTTTATGTCTTTTTTTTGTTGTTGTGATTTTATGATTTTGAATAAAGTTAAAAGAAATGGAAACAAAGTTCGAAATAAAAACAAAATGCCAAAAGTGGGAATAGTGAGATTCGAACACGAGACCTCTCGCTCATACCTCCAAATCTCTGCCCATTGTGGCATCTCATTCATTCAAAATAAAATGAAACAACAAATCATATAATTGTAAAAAACCTGAACAAAAATTGGAGTATGACATGTATGGTATGCAAATGACCTAATAGAGTGATGCAGATGAAATGAGAAATATAAACCAGATAAAAGAGAAATCAGGAGGGAAAATTTTAGGGTACAACACACACTGCCACAACCCAAATTATTAGGTATTCTGATTTTATTCTACCATACTTGATCTTCGTCATTAAGATTTTCAACATCATTAAATTCAGTTGTGATCCATCAATAAAACACCCTTTTGGATAGAATAGTGTTAAGGAATCAAGAAACGAAGATTGAGGTGCAATAGAATACTCGAGAAAGAAGAAAGTACAAATAATCTCGAGTACATAATTACCAGTGGTTTGACAATCTCCACTGCATATCACCTCTATTATTCGTCATCAATGAGATCCAGACCGTAAAAACTTCCAACGTAAATTTGATACCGGAGCACTTCCTTCGTAAGGAAAATAATTCCCAAATGATAAGAAAAGATCACATAGTACTAGAATTCCTAAATCACGATGAAGTAAATGGAGTTCCAGATGCAGTTATAGCCAATTGTAACGAGAAATGTCGAGAATCATATGGCACACTGTAGTGGTGAAAAATTAGAGATTAAGCTATTGATTTAACTTAACTCACAAAAGCAAGAGTCGACACTACACTTTTTTATTTCCAAAAGAAAAATGAGAAAATAGCGAATAAAATCCACCAAAATAAAGAGATAAAGGTATGAGGGTTGATTATGAAAAGGGAATGTATCAGCACCTAATGCATCAATAGTACTATATATGAACCTCTTATAATATCTGTGTTTTGGCAAAAAAACCATTGTTGTTTGCAAAATAATTGAGGAGAAAAAAATGTTTTTTTAATATATTGAATTAATTAACCTAATTAACTAAAATGCATATTTTTGTATATTTCTTAAGGTTAAAATAAACTAAATTAATTTAAAAAAAAAAACAAAATAATTACTCTTGATCAACTACATCAAACTAATTACAAAATTTAGCTAAAACCAAAATAAAACTAAGAAAAAATAATTAAACAAGAATAAATAAAGGAGATGATATAAATAGCACGAGACTATATAAAGTTAGTAAGAGAGTAAAGGTTTGAGCTCAAAAATCCATATTGCACAAAAACCAAAATCAAAATCTAATTAAATTAAATAAAAAAAGTAATAATAAGAAGAAAAATAGCAGCAACAAGGGCGACGTATCCCCTCTCTTTCGCTTCTTTTTAGACTTTTCCATGCTTTTGGGATTAACCATTTGTAGATTAACACGTGGCAGGGGCTTAAGCAAAAACAAATAAAAAGAAAAAGAACTAGAAAGTATCCAAACATGAAAGCATTAGTGAACATGAAAAACATAACAAATCCATCTTTCTCTTTTCTCAAAAGAACAACACTATTTTTGCTACTCCTTAAACTCAAACAACAAAAAAAAAATGCACTACAAATCCAAAAAATGAAAAAAAAAAGCTTACAAATCACGCGAATGATGGGGGTGCCGACATTGTGTGTGGGTTGCGGACTGAAGGGAAGAGGGTGCTGCAATCGGAAAGGGTGGCCGTGCAGCTTCATGTGGAGGATGGTCCGAGGTGTCGGAGCTGGGTTTGACGCATAGGAGGGCATGGTCGCGCTTCGCGGTGATGGCGCATGTTGTACCCCAAAATTTGCCCTCTCATTTATCTAGAATTTGCTCACAAGATCTCTTTGGGTTCAAAACTGCACTAGGGTTTGAGTTGGCACAAGTATTTTTGAACTATCAATGCTTCATATGACTTTCATGGACCATTATGGATTCTCAAGATTACTCATGTCAAGTTTCAAGCCTTGGATCACATTTTTGCTCAGTCAATTGAGCAGTTGACCTAAAAACCAATTGTATTAGGGAAAAGTCAACCATGGCCAATTTACAGTCAAACTTTATAATTATTGATCCAAATCAACATTTTAAACCCATATTTATCATTTGATCAAGTTTGGACCACAATTCCTCAAGAAATTTGATCAAATCTCCAAAAGGGCAAAATGGTCAAAATGAGGGTTTTGATTGGGAAAGGGCAATTTCTGATTTTTGACCTAGAAAATGGTCAATTGTTTTAAGGCATGATATCAAGAGTCCAATTGCATCATTTTTACCTAATGACATGATTCAAAACATTGCAAATCCATAAGATTGACAAATGAATTTTGCAGTCAACTGATCAAAAGTCAATTGTATACTGAAAAGTCAAACTTTGACTTTTTGGTCAAATTCAAGTGCCAAAAATCATAATTCATCAAAACATGTCAAAATATGAAACTTATTCATCAAGAAATCAAAAATCCAAGATTTCATTTTGAAAAGTCAAAATTTCTAAACTTAGAAATTTTTCTAAGTGTTGGAAATTTCATGTTTTTTCATAACTTTGAGCCAAATTTTCACCATGATGCAAGATGATTCAAAGGAAACTTCCAAAATGAAAGTTGTATATCTCCATGAAATCTACAACTTTGCTTCACATAACATCTCCTAAAAGTGCTTGGATCTCAATTTATAATTTTGTGAATACATGCTCATGAACTAAAAAAAGACTTAGGGAAATTTTGCCCTAGTTAGGCAGATTTTTGACCTAACTTCATGGCAAATTTTCACATAGTTCTAAGGGGAATATTCAAAATCAATTCAAATATGAGTTGTATAGCACATTTCAAGCTTTCCAAAATGTCCAATAACTCCTTGATATCATTCTTGATTAGGGAGAATCGAAGAGATGAAGTTGGTGTTATAGGTTATTTTCATGATGAACACAAACGCAAATCAATGTTAGGCTGCATAATCTTTGCTTTGCAGGCCTCAAACTTGTTTGTCACTCCAAAATTAATGGATTACACAAACTTTTTAGTTTTCTTACCAAATCAATGGTAAGACAACAATATCAAAGGAAAAGAAAATGAACAAGAAAGACATTTGAGTAGGTAGATTGCTCCTAATTACTTGCTCAATTTCAAACAAAACATCCTTGATATTTTCAAAACAATCAAATACAATTTCAAACATATTACAAAATTGAAAACATTTTCAAAATATCAAATATCTTTGTATACATTCTTACAAACAAGAATCATTACAAAGATTGCCTAAACAGTGGCCTCTTTACAAAATACTTTCAAAAACCACACAAAGCACAATTTCAAACAAAAGCAAGTGATCTAACAAGTAACTAATATCCCATGGAAAACCATGGATGAAAAGGATGCTAATACCTTCCCTTTTCCATAATCTACCCCCCAAACTCAAGAAATAATATCAAAGGTCTTTCCTGTACTTTTTCACCTTTCCTTTTGGATAAATGAAAAGTCGGTGGCGACTCTTGCTAACCGCAACATTTGCGATCAAACGCAAAACCCTCAAGTTAGTTCTCCTACCGTATAACAATGCAGTTGTGAGGTTTGTAGCTCTGATCAGCAAAGGTGGTGCGAAATCACGACACTCAATAGCTATGGATTTTTCCGTCGTCGGTAGTTGTATTTTCGGAGCGTGCTTCAGAATGACTTGTAGTATGGATCCCGATCTTGCTTCTTTTTCTCTTCCAGTCTCAATATCTTTTTCTGTATGGATTCAACAATCAAGAAGTCGTGAGGATTGCATTATCTTGTTTTTTGTGATGAGTTTTTGATATTTACAGGTTGGATATAATAGAATGAAGCTGGGGGTTTTGAAATAAAAAATTAATAAGATGTTAGTAAAATCTAAGACAAAAAAAGGATTAATGGCAGTTTGAAAAGTAAATTGTTAAATGAAAAAAAGGGGTATGACTACATAACATAGAAAAGATTCAAACAAATAAGGATGTTAAGAAATAAGACATAAAATTGTGTGAGAGTGTTAGTTTCTGAACATATGTACGATTGTTAGTACGAGTATTTGTGAATATCAGGTGTTGTTATTTTGTAG